TGGTACAGTGACTCTGTGTATTCCTTCCATCTTCTTTTGATACTTCCTGCATTGTTCAGTATTTTGCCCATACAATCCTTCACTATTGCAACTGAAGGCTTGAATTTTTTCTTCAGTTCTTTTAGCTTGAGAAATGCTGAGCGCGTTCTTCCCTTTTGCTTTTCTAACTCCAGGTCTTTGCATATGCCATTTTAATACTGTGTCTTCTCAAGCCACCCTTTGAAATCTTCTGTTCAGCTCTTTTACTTCATTTCTTCCATTAGCTTTAACTACTCGATGTTCAAGAGCAAGTTTCAGAGTCTCTTCTGATATCCATTTTGATCTTTTCTTTCTTTCCTGTCTTTTTAATGACCTCTTGGTTTCTTCACGTATGATGTCCTTAATGTCATTCCACAACTTGTCTGGTCTTCAGTCATTAGTGGTCATCAAATCTATTCTTGAGATGGTCTCTAAATTCAGGCAGAAGACGCTCAAGGTCGTACTTTGGCTCTCATGGCCTTGTTCTAATTTTCTACATTTTCAACTTGAACTGGCATATGAGCAATTGATGGTCTCTTCCACAGTCGGCCCCTGTCCTTGTTCTGACTGATGATATTGAGCTTTCCATTGTCTCTTTCCACAGATGTAGTCAATTTGATTCCTGTGTATTCCACCCGACAAGGTCCATGGGTAAAGTCGCCATTGATGTTGTTGAAAATGGTATTTGCAATGAAGAAGTCATTGGTGTTGCAAAAATCTGTCATGCAATCTCTGGCATCATTTCTATCACCAAGGCCATATTTTCCAACTACTGATTCTTCTTCGTTTCCAACTTTCACATTCCATCACCAGTAATTACCTTGTAAAGATTACACCCTAGGAAATCCTATGGGGCGGTTCTACTCCGTCACATGGGTTGCTATGAGTCAGAATTGACTTAACAGCACACAACAACATACAGGGAGTATGGGGCCCTAAGAAAAAAGGTAACTTAAATCATGCCAGAAGTTCTCAGTTAATATATGGCATGCTAGATGGCTGTAAGATATATTCTTCCAGGTAGTCATGAAGGTTGAGGGTAAGTGAATTCTTAGTAATTATTATAAAATCTGAGATCACCTAAACTGTTGGTGTTCTACTCTTTAGTACCTATTGAGTTAAAGGAAGAGTAATAATGTTAAATTTGTTCTCTCTGAGATTCTTTAGTGCTTGAGACAGTGATGTTGGGTAGCAATTCAGTAATGTCCAAGTATTCTTGAAGGTCTGTTTTGTCTTTTTTTCTTGTTTGTATATATTTGCTACCAAACACAGTATATTAATTACCATTTACTGACTGTTTACTATGTGCTAGGAAGTTTATATACATATCTTTCATCTTCTCAACATGCCAGAAAAGTAAAAAACCAGTTTTTGTTGAGTTGATTGTGACTTGTGGCAACACCATGTGTGTCAGAATAGAACTGTGCTCCATAGGGTTTTCAATGACTGATTTTTAGGAAGTAGATCACCAGGCTTTTCTTCCTCAGGCACCTCTGGGTGGACTCGAACCTCTAATGCGTGCATTAACCATTTACACTACCACAAAAGTAGGCCTGATTATTTGTTTTACAGAGTAGGAAGCTGAGATTTAGACAGGTTAAACAATTTGTGTTACTTTCTTTCATGTATGCTAAACGTTTCAGCATATTTAAGTGAATGCTTCTGAAAGCTCTTTGAAGATACGGACTGTATCTTTCATGTACAATGCATAGTATTTAATATAATTAATACTTGTTTTCAATAATTATCAGCTAAGCAGACAATAAGATCTTAAAATATTCTATATTGATGGTTCTTTAATAAATTTAGTTAGCGGATAGGTTAGTTCAAAAATTCAGTTAAAAAGTAGCTTCAACTTCAGCTCAGCAGCAACAATGTCAAGGTGTGCTCTTAATTCTTTCACTCATTCAATAACAATTATAACCTAGGTCTTTGCTCAGCCACCTCAGTGGCTAAAATGAAGAAGAATTTACATCCAAGAAAAATATTTTCCCCAACAAGAAGATCTGTCTTATAAGAAACTCTTTGTCATTCTCTTGAAATTTTTCACAACTTGAGGATAATTCCCTAGGGGTCTTAGAAAGACGCTCGTTATTTAAAATTGATTGCTTTTAAGATAATCTCTTAAAGTCTCTCTCTCTCTGTTTTTAGAAGAAGGAAAAAGTAGTAAAACAAACCAGGATGACCACTTTAGAAAGTCTGAGAAATCCTGAAGAACAATAATAAATAGGGTGCAAAAACCTTCTGATCATCATGTGGATTGTTCCTGAAGGGCAACTTGGATTGAGGTAGTCTATGACCATTTCTATAAAGTAGCCGTTTAAAAAACTCATAAAGTCTACTAATGATGCAGAATACATTACTATATGTGAGATCATAATGGTTGTAGGTTGTAGTGACTTAGTAAACCACTTAGAAAGGACATCAAAGAATACTAAGCTGTACACGAAGTAAGAATCAATTTAATTATTATTGGTACCTTAACATTTTAAAATTAGGACTATAGCAAAATAAGTGGTATCTATGCCCTTATCTATAAAATGCAGTGTTCTTGTGGTATTAGATCACATTCTTTACTGAAAATGGAAATAGATACTGGATTCAAACTTTCCATTTATCTTCCCATCTCTCCTGATTCTTCAGTATCTGTCTTTTTCTTGTCCTTCCCATGTCTACAGTTGTGCTCCATTCTCATCCATCACTGCCCTCCCCTTCTGTCCCTCAAAGAATCCTTCCCTAGTCCCTAACAACTTTCATGCACGCTGCTCTCCATCTAAGAACAAGAATGACCTGTTTCCATCCTGCTTATTTTCTTTTCACGTTAGCTTCCTTTTCTTTTTTCGAACTACTTGTCCATAGCTTATTGAGTATTCCCTCCTACTTCTGTTCCTTTCTCACTTATTCCTTAAATGTTGGGATTTCCCAGAAATATCATTCTTTCTCCTCTTTCTGTACACCAGAGGTTTGTGAACCACTTAAAATTGTAAGCAGATTTTTGTGTTTTGTGGTAGGGCATTTGTTTCCCCTTGGGAAAGTACCTATAACTTTCATACATGCTCAAAAGTCCTTGACTCTTTTAACAAGGTTAAGTGCCCCTGTCCCACTAACATTTTCTTTAGGTTATTTCCTCCTCTCCTTTGCCTTTGACAACCGTCTGCCAAAAAAAAAAAACAAAAAAAAAAAAACCCAAACCAAAAAACAAACCATACCCCATCACCATCGAGTGGATTCCAACTCATACCGACCCTAAAGAACAGAGCAGAATTACCCCATAGGGTTTCCAAGGCACAGCTAGTGGCTTTGAACTGCCAACCTCTTGGTTAGCAGCCAAGCTCTTAACCACTGCACCACCAGGGCCAGCCACTGCCAAATCTATCCATAGTGCTTACCAGGGGAAAATGAGACCGACAACGAAGAAGAAAAACCAAGATTCAAAAAAATGTTGAAGATCGAAAACAAGAAGAAATTGTACCATAAATACTTAATGTCTAGCTTAGCTTAATGAATCCAGCTGAGGACCAGTCGACTGAATGTTGGGCGGGGGGCCTGGCAGGTTCATTACTTTAGCTTGTCATGAAAAAACGCTATCTGCGCAAAACCTTAGCTGCAGAGCAGAGGGCGCACCGCGGCCCTAGAGTGAGACAGGACAGAACAGGAGAGAAAAACACGGCAGCCGAACTACCCACACCCGCAGCAAAGCCAGCTCAGAGCTGTGCTACCACGGACTGGAGCCAGAAACCCCGCCCAGCACCCGGCCGCGCCCTTGACCGACATCCCCTTTCTTCAATCATCTTCCAGTTCACTATAAACACTCCTTACTCCTCCCGCCTAGCCCTTCCCTTTCCAAGCCAATCAGAGGAAGGGGCGGGATCGTCCTTCGTGGGTTTCAATTTTTTTAAAAAAGAAGGCTACACTGCGTGCTGTGTTCTGGGGGGCGGGGTGCTCCTCCCGAGCGAGGGGGTGGAGCCCCTGTGATGGGCATGCCGACCCATCAATGAGGTGTCCCAGCCGCTCAAAGGCCCGGCCGTCGAGGTGGGCGGGGCACACGAGGGGCCCGGCCAATGGCGGCGGGGCGGACGCAGGTTGAGCTGCGGAGGGTAGGGTTAGTGTGAGAGGTGCGGCGGGGGAGGTAATGATGGTGGCGGAGGAGGAAGGCGGGGGAGGGGGTGCTGGGCGCTGAACGGCGGCAGCGGCTCTGGCAGGGTATTGTAGGGTGGGGGACGGTTGCGGGGCGACTCCGTCAGGGAGGGGGCGGGCGTGAGGGGCGCCGTCCGCCTGAGGGGCTGCAGACCCCCGCTACCGCGAGCGCCGCGGCTGGCTCGGCTGTTCCATGTGGCTCCGGCGGGGATGGAGGACTCGGTGGCGGCGGCGGCGGCTGCTGCTGCGGCGGCGATGGAGGAGCGGCGCTGAGAAGGGAACGGGGCCAGACTCTGCCAGACAGCGGGATTAGAGGTGTGAGGAGGAGGCGGGAGCGGACGTGCAGAGGGGCCGGGGCTCGGGAACGGGGCTGGGATCTACTGGCATCGCTTGGGTGACAGGGACCGCAGGCGAGCCACCGCCTGCCTCCGCTGGGGGGCAAGGGTCTGGGTTCCTTGCGGGAGGAGACGAGGCTCCGGCGAGCTGTTCCCCTGAAATGGGGGAGGGAGGCACCGTCACCGCACCGTGCACTCGCCCCGCTGGTCAGTGCTTCACGCCCAGGCAGGAGTTTCCATTTCCCTGCGGTTGGCAGCGAAGGTGAAGGAGCCCAAGTGGCCTGGAGTCGGGACACAGCCCTCCCTCTGCCTTGAGATTTCCCTCCACTCCTCGTTCCCCATCCCTTTCGGCTTCTGACTGAACAACAGCATTCCTCCTCTCTCCCCAGTTTGTTCTAAGCACACATTCTAGGAGTCAAAACTATTAATTATCGGCTGAAAAACAAAGTTTATTTAAAAATAACTCCACTTCTTTCTCCGACTGGCGGTGGACATTAAACAGCATCCCTTGACTTTCCCGCTCTGCTCGCCCTTCTGTGATGCTAGGAGGGGGAGATAGGGCCCTGACTTGCGTCTCTCGATTGTTGTTGATGCTGATTACCTGATGTGTTGCTCCACGTCTTCGATGTGGCTTGTAATTTCTTCCTTAGTGTCTCGCATCCTTGATGTTACTGGCTTTTGAGGTTGGTGTTCTGTTTCATTGTTTGAAAAAGATGTGAAGAACCGGGGTTGTCTGTTGCAGCGTTATCTAACATGGGTGGGTAGCCTCTTCTTATGCTGCTCTCATTTTCTTTCTCTTTTGTCTTTGTTTTGCTTTTCAGTCCTTCAGGAATACACGTCATATAGCCCAAGAGGTGGAATGGTGATGTCTCCATGAGGGAGCCTCCTCTTACTCATCCTGTCACGTATATCATGCTGCTCTTGACTGGACCATTCATCTAAGATGGGATTTACCCTGTGAAACAGGGAGAAGACTTATGGACTTCAAACACCATTTCAAGTTGTAATTGAGTTTCTTAAAATTCAGACATACATGCAAAGCTCTTTTGCTTTGGACCCTCTCCTTTATTAAAGCTGCTGTGTTGCTGACCCAGAACTGCTCCAGTGTATTGACTGATCATCATGGCTTCAGTTTGGAAGAGACTGCAGCGTGTGGGAAAACATGCATCCAAGTTCCAGTTTGTGGCTTCCTACCAGGAGCTGATGGTGGAGTGTACTAAGAAATGGTAAGATGTGCCTGGGGATAGAGTTTTCTGTGCTGTGGCCGAAACTCTGCCTCTTCTAATAGCTGGTTTACCTTTCTGGCGCCCAAGTGTGTAGGAGCTGGGCGGGGTGCAGATTATTCTAACAAGTACTGTGGTGTGCACTGTTGCTGCTGGACCATCCCTGTGGGTTTTAATTACTGCACTTTAGTATGGCTAAGAGGATTGTAACTGAGAGCACACTAAGTACAGTAGATCTGGTTGTGAGGTCTTTGGTCATTGGTGTTAGAGTAACTTTGATTCTTAAATTTGAAGGTGACACGAGGAATGGCTATTGAAATATTGTGAACATGTAGTGTTACAGAAATCTACATTTTTGGGTGGTGGTAAGCTGTTTTAAGTGTTCTTGATTTTTCATTTTCTTTACTTACGATAAAGAGTTTCTCATTATTTGAGTAGTGGAATGCCAGTCCTTACAACCTTAGAAATTCTTTTGTTATATCCTTGGTCAGGCAACTGTATTTTATTTTAATTGCCTAATGGGATACATTTCTTGGCTGGTCTTAAGAAAGCAATTAGTAGTACTGGCCTATGATTTGCTTCTTTCCGCTTGAGTAAAGTAAATTTAAGGCTTTCTTTTCGCGGCCATGAATGATAAGCAAGAAGGACTTTTATTTAGTGAGAGAAAAAAAGTTAATTTTAAGCAAATGTTCCTTTGGGTTTTGATTCACTGCAGTGATTAAGCAGTATTATTGCAAATAAGTCCATTTCGTTGTCCACAAGGTCTGTAATAACTTCTCTTTGTAACATCCTTTTTACTAGATGGAAAAGTAGCTGACTCTATTCTAGAATTCTTATACCACATTTTGAATATTTATTTGGAAACTAGTCTCTGAATGCTTTTCTTTTGAACTGGTTAGGAATATTATTTTATATGCAATTCAACAAGTGCATGCATCTATTACCCACTTTATACCAGGCACTTTGGATACAGAGTGGAAAATGGCATAGTCCCTGCCTTCAAGGAGCTCACAGTCCATGGTGGGAGACAGTCATGTAAACAAATTCACTGTGATCAGTACAATAATAGAAATACGTTTGATGCAGATATTTGAATCTTTCTCTGCCAGTTAACAATTGGGTATCCTTGGGGGCAGATTATTTCACTTCTCTGTGATTTAGCTTCTATATTCACAAAGGTAATAATGGTACCACTTCATAGGAAGGGCTGTTATTAAGATTAAATGAGTTAATACATGTAAAATGCTTACAACACTGTCAAGCACATAGTAAATTCCCAGTAAATTATAGCCATTACTATATACAAACTTGGCAGATGAGAAAAGAATCAGCTTTGTAAGAGTTAGGGAGTGGGGTCTTGGGCTGACTTCCTGGGATCTGAGCTGGGTTTTGAAAAATTCATAGTAGTTTGCCGGGAAGCCAAGGGGTAAGAGGTGAAGGACATTCTAGACTGAAGTAACAGCTTGTGCAAAAGCGTGGAAGCTTTAAATAGCGTGAGGTGTGCTGGACTTCAAGTTGTGTAGTTTGATATTGATGGAACTTAAAGTACAGGATGGGGGAAATACAGTGGGATATGAGGTTTGGAGGCAGGCAGGACTCAAATCATGGGAAGTTATGTGTTGTAAATGAATTAGACTTTATTCTGTGAATGATAGGGACATAGTGAAGAGTTTGAGAGGCAGAGACATTAGATCTGCATTTTGGAAAATCACTTGGATTTTAGTACAGAATAAGAATCATAGTGGACAGGGTGCCTGGAGGCAACAAGGTTAGTCTTGCAATAAACCAAAAAACCAAACCCGTTGCCGTCAAGTCGATTCTGACTCATAGCGACCCTATAGGATAGAGTAGAACTGCCCCATATGGTTTCCAAGGAATGCCTGGTGGATCCAAACTGCTAACCTTTTGGTTTGCAGCCATAACTCTTAACCACTACACCACCAGGGTTTCCAAGTCTTGCAGTAGGCATGGTGAACAAAGTCTTGGACTAAGGCAGTGGCAGAGGGAATGGAGAGAACAGACCGGAAGAACACTCAGGGTACAAAATGGATAGAGCTTTCTGATTGCTTCATTTGGGGGCCAGGAAAGGGTGAGGATAAGGGGAAGGGAAAGGTCTAGATTTCTGACTTGGAAGACTAGGTGTACTATTAACCAAGGCAGAGAATACATGAGGAAGAGCCTGATTACAAGTATTTTTAGTATATTGAAAGTATCAACTTTAAGATAATTAAATTTAAATCTCATTTAGAGAAGTGGAACATACCAGCTGATGCTTCAGTCACAAAATCAGTTTCTTCTCCATAGTTTGCAGCATCCCTGGAATTTTTTTTTTTCCTTTGAGAAATATATAAGTTATTGTTAATGTGTCTCAAAGTGAAAGCAAGAATGGAAAATTAACTTGATTACAGTTGAATGGATGGCTTGATTACTTTTAGGGATGCCATTATGGTACACCTATTCAATTAACTCTTTATGATAGGATCTGGCCTTAACGCCAAAAGCATTTGGATGTTCTCCTAGAATTTTCAGGCATATAGTTCTAAACATTTTGAAATTGTTTTACTCTCATTTAAAAATACACTTTAAAGCTAACAAGGTGACAGTACCCAAAGAATAACATATTTGTTTGATGTGCTAAAATTTTATTTTAATGAATAGTATTTAGAATAAATAAATCCTGAAATGGAGCTGAAAAATCTTTTCACTACTGTATATAAAAATTGCTGAATTGCTGGGCGGAGGGCTGTGGGGACCATGGTCTCCGGGAACGTCTAGCTCAACTGGAACATCTAGCTCAGTTGGCATAAAACAGTTTATAAAGACAATGTTCTACATTCTACCTTGGTGAGTAGCGTAGAGAAAAAAAAGATCGTTGTAATGACTTTTAGTTAGTATTCCTTTTACCTTCCTTTGCTTAAAGTCCTTGTGATGTATACTGGTTAGGCCCAGTTTCTACTCCTCTGTGCTATAGTTTTCTTTTCTTTTTCCCATTCATTTGATCCCTGCCAGAAGTCTTAAATTGTTGGATGTGTGTGCTGATTTAGAATCTACTTAAAGGACAAAGGAATAAAAATAGACTTGGGCACATAGTAAGGACTTTTTTCTTTAATCAGCTGCTTTTACATTGTAGATACTATTTTGGATGTATGGAAAAATAAAAGGGGAGGAAGGAAATTTAGAGATGCCAAATAAATAAAAGGAAAGAAGCATCAATAATAACACTGAAGGAGAATTGCACATGTTGAGAGGATAAGAAAGTATATCTGACATAAATTAGAGAAGAAGGAATAAATGATAGAAAGAATAGTTAGCATTCCATTGGGATTGTGCCTTTGGAGGTAACCTGTATATATAGGTGCCATTGCTTTTTGGAACCTAGCTACTTAAAGTGTTTTCTGAGGATCTAGAGCATTGGCAATGCGTGGAAGCCTGTTAGAATGGCAGACTCTCAAGTCCTACCTTGTTATTGTGTGCCATCAAGTCAGTTCTGACTCATAACGACCCTATTTGACAGGGTAGAATGGCCCCATAAGGTTTCCTAGGCTGTAATCTTTATGGGAGTAGGTCTCCAGGTCTTTTCTCCCACGGAGCCTCTGGCTGACTTTGAACTGCCAACCTTTTGGTTAGCAGCCAAGCGCTTAACCATTGTGCCAGCAGGGCTCTTTAAGTCCTACCTTAGACGTACTGAATCAGATTCTGTATTTTAACAAAGTCTGCAATATAGATAGTAAAGTTTAAGAAGCATTATTTTAAAATAATGTTTTCAACCTTACCAAGTGCCTATTCTTGATTCCAGGATAAGTATATTCAATAAAATACATTGACTTCTGCATGAATCTGAAACTCAAAGGAATGAAGATGGTAGAATGGGATTCAGGAAAGACATTGCATTGATAGAAGAGAATGATTAGAATCAAGTGTATTTCCAAGGGAAGAATGTGTTATTTCTGTGACTAATGAGAGGAGAAACTTTATCCATGTTTTCTTGTCATGGCCACAGTGTATGGGCCTGGACATGACACATAACAGCATGAGCAGGATGCACGTAGGGGTTTAAGGAGGCTGTCTTAGGCTAGGTTCTCTAGAGAAGGAAAACCAGTGAAGCATATGATGTGTGTGTGTGTGTGTGTGTGTGTGTGTGTGTGTGTGTATGTAGAAAGTGAAAGTGAGATTGATTTAGATGTATATCAAGGAAATGGCTCAAGTGGTTGTAGGGGCTGGCAAGTCCCAAGTCCTTGGGTCAGGTGCCAGGCTGGAGACTTCTCCTGACTCAAACATCGTCGGTTTAGATGGCAGGCTGCTGACTCACTGACTGTGGAGGCTGACGAATCCAAGATCGGCAGGCAGTATGGCAGGCTGTTGCCTCAACTTCCAAGAACTGGAGGTCAGATGATGATGAGCTGGATGCAGGATCCAGAGTGAGCAAAAGCCAGTGAGGTTTGCCAGAATGTCCATATATATTGGATGCAGGCCACAACTCTGAGGAAACTCCCCTTACAACTGATTGGCTCAATACATCAGATCGCATCATGGAGGTGATTACATCATTACTTAACTGCCAAACTACATCATTACATAACTGCCAAACCACTGAGAATCATGGCCTACCCAAGTTGACACACAACCATAACCATCACAGTCCACCCCTTCTCAACTTGGCGCCTGTACACATCTCCTTAAACCGTACACAATCTCTAAATAAAGACAATTACAAAGTCATACTTACACCTAACATGATAGAACTAACTGCATACAACTGAATATGCATTAGCCCCATTTACATCTTATATTTTATAAATGAAGAAAACAAAAATATTTGATGCACACATACAAGGAAGGAATACTCGTAACAGTGACAGTCCTCGTTTCTGCAACTGGTCATGTAGTACTAACTGGTATTTAGAACTACCTTCTTCCACCACCCATTCTATATTCCCTGTGCCTTCAGCAAGCACCTCAGCTGGTCATGGTTCTTTGCCTGGTGGGGTGACCCAAACCTTTAT